TCGTATATTTGGGTTACGAAACTGCTGATAGATTTTCAGTCTTTACTTCAGAACTGAGCTAATCATGATCAAACTCTGACCCTCTTGAAAAATGACCAGCATTACGTGAAGTCGCGGTAGGCAGTATAAGCATGCCTAGATTAATGACAACTTGCCACCGGCGAAGTGATAAGCCACAGATACATCTACAAAGATGTTTGATCCCGAACATATCTCTGCCTTGGGGGCAGGTTTCTACTGCGGATGGAGTGTTCTATTTCTCTGTAGGAGCGGTCCCGATAGGTCACAGATAATGTGTAACATCACTCAAATGATTATCTGATTAGCATCACCTTTCATACTGTCAACCTTACATGCCGGAACACTATTTTATGGTCGTGTTTTTTTATAGCCGGAAGCAGAACATTGTTATGTAATACAGTGGTTTCTGTAGGAACTCCGTCGTTTTTCGTAAGTTTGTGTTGAAGCTAGTGTGTATTGACCTACGTGGGATGTTTAAACTTTTATTGTCACATTCCCGTCCGTACACGCCGTAATTTAAAATGAAACTTTTTATTCCGAAATTCAAACAATACAAATTCAAATACATAAAAGGAATATGCTATTAGATGATGAGCTTATGATTATTGGTATGTACTGCCATCTTCGTCATACCTTTTTTAGGAAAAAAAAATTAAGTTGGATTGAGAGCGAGAAAGAGAGTGGTAGTTATAATAGTAGGCATCCTTCCATCTCGAAAGATGATGGTAGCACTCTAGGTCTGGTATTGTGGCCGTGAACAGCGTTTGGTGTGGCTAATCAGCCCTATCCTCGCATGGCAGTCCCGACCACAATTGGGACACAGGAAAGATGAGCTATTTTGAGCATGGAGTTTCTCTTTCCGCTTCTGGCGCTTTGTACTATACTAGTAAACATATTCACATATTCTTTGTAATGTGAGAAGGTGAGGTGAGGTGAGAAACATATTCTGCAGTTGGTATATTTGTGAATATTTAATCTGAAAAGAAAAGCCGTAATGGCCGATATGGCGAGTGGGTTTGGTACCCGTGCATTGCCGTGCATCTAAAGACATGAACAAGACGGATGCTTCTGCTCCTTCTTAATGCTTTCACCGGCAGATGACTCATCACTTCCATGACTCTGCGGCACGTTTTGACGGTCCCTTTGGGGAGTTTGTATGATCGCACAATCACGAGCAATTTCCGCGGTTTCTGTCAGCTCTCCCGTGCGGCGTGAGGGATAACCAGTCATTCCGACTCCTGACGACTCCGAGCCGGTCTCGTCTGGGCGGTAATCCACTAATGCATCGGGAGGCCAGGTAACAGTTACCTGCAGATTTCCCTCCCTATCGGCTCGGAGTGTTGAAAGATCTCGGGAGACGGTTTTAGCAAAGACAGCTCCTTTACCACATGGATAAGGACGGGGAAAAATGAATAGCCCCTTTTTTTAGGTAAATCCACTAATGCATCGGGAGGCCAGGTAACAGTTACCTGCAGATTTTCCCTCCCTATCAACTCGGAGTGTTGAAAGATATCGGGAGACTGTTTTAGCAAAGACAGCCCCTTTACCACATGGATAAGGAGGGGAAAAATGAATCGCCCTTTCTTTACCGCACTCTACAAATCCTTAGAGGGCCCTTGCGCTTCCCAAGTAATCCAGGTTAATTCCGCAAAAAGGATGCGGCGCATCCTTTGGATGGAAGGTTCTCAGGCCTTTTCGAGAAAAAAAATGGCACACCGGATAAGCAAGCTGTACTTTGCTGACAAGGTTTTTATGTTCGTTTTTACGACCAATTCTGCTACTTAAACACGGCCCATTACATGCTTTTATAGGCAACGACACAGAAGCGGGGAGATATGGGACATAGATACTAAGAGATATGCAATAACATGGAGGAAAAAACCAGCTGGGTAAGCCCCTGTGCTAGGTCCATAAAACACCAGTTACTTAGATCGTGACTGATTACCCCCATTAAATGACCCCATTTGATCAAACATGCAATGTTATCATGTAATGCTGGTTGGCCAAATGCTTGAATTTGTTTATACTTCAGTGGCTTGTCGAGATATGAAAGCTAGCTATTCATTACCTGCCAATGATTGATTTATTGATGCAATTAAAATTTCTTGAAGTCATGTTAGATCTTTCCAAGCATGCATGTTGCGATTCGAGTCAGAGGTTACACGTATCGTTGCCAGAATCGATAGAATGGTAGCAGGTCTTATTGGCTGGCTCGTGAGATTATGTACGTTTTGAGATTAATTGTTCACTTTACTTGCAGTAACTAGTAAAAGTTGAAATGAACTTCTGTGTCGTGCACACAGTAAAAATTAAACTAACAAAATCGACGCACAGTAACGATGAGGCACGTCAAAATAGGCATAAAACCTGTCTGTAATGAGCAAAATGGTAATGAACTAATCCAACACACGTAAAAATAATCAAATATATTCATCATAAAATGATATTGGAACTATGTCGGAATCATACCTTGGAGTAACGTAAGAGGACCCAATCTACATTTTCTAATCATGTTTTTGTATTCGATATATCTTCATCAACATTAAGATAAAGTTGTGAGGGTAAGAGCTGTCCGAAAGGTCCTCAATCTTCTAAGTGACAAAGCCTTTTCGTCTCCACAACAATGACGTGGTTGCATTTGATGTAATTTTGAACTAGTCTAGACCTATAGCTACATCCTTAAATCATATTAATATATAATTGGGGTTAACGGTTCGCTCAACCACAAGGGAGTAAACCTTGAAACGAGCCGAGTTATTTTGCAATTTCATACCTTGCATCAAAGTGAAATGAGTTTCGGCGGGGTCGGTCTATATTTGATTGCGGACTGTCTGAACTCATTGCAAATATTGCTTTCATATCATAACTGTGTCCCTCGGAAAAGCAACTAGGGTTAGATTTACTGGGAAAACCTTGTCAGATTCAAATTACTAAGGCGAAAAGCTTGTCTGTAGGATAGGATTTGTGGGCCTGAGCTGCAGGATTGAATATGGTTATCATTTTGAATGTGGAAAGTAGTTTCACCCCGACCTCAGTGTCATGGGTCTAGCGGAGATTTGTTGCCAATGCCAATAACGTACAATACTGGTTATTGACCTGAATCCAGAAACACTCTGTTTGACGAGTCTCTCAAATATTAATTTTGTGGGCGTTTCCAATTTTCTTTACCCCAAAACCTTCAATGCCGATTAATCCAATGTATTTCTAATGGGGAAACATATTATCAGACTATTGTTCATATTATTAAAATATTAAATTAAATAAAACTTTGAATACATGTATTTGATACTGCACTGTACAAGAAATCTCAATATAGCTTCGTTTTGCTCCTGTTCTACACAATGTTATAAAACACTGACATGCTAGTGATTTGTATTCATGCCATGCTTTGATGTATCTCTCGAACGTCAAGAAAAAGAATACCCCTGTCTTCAGCTTGTATACCTCTCCTTCCGCCTTAAGGTATTATCGTAAGTTTCAAACGACTGAAGACGCTGAGGACTTATTGCGGCTGTGCGCGGGGGATCTTCTCTTACCCGATCGATACGGGGTGCACCGGTGTCCTTGGAGCGGAATTCCTTCAAATTGATTCTGCCCTTCAAGGACAATGCGTTCGCCTTTTTTGGAAATGATTACATCTCCAAGGAGAAGCCCGTGTTCGTCTTTTCCAGTGTTATGTCCCTGGGTTTTTGTTAATGTTTATTCGGGAAGTATAACTCCTGCACACAGTTGCAGAGTATGTATGTCATTGCAAAAAGGCACAGCTACATATCAAAGGCCATTTGTGCTGAATAAAGGTGCTTGGTGAGGAGGTTCTGAAGCCCCAGGAGACAAAGTGAACATCACGTGTAATATTGATGTACCGAAAGAACAGACGAGGAGCTTAGACTTCAAAGGGCTATGTCATCCCTACATAGCATATCGCCAGCAGTGTCCTTTTACGAATCGCTCAATTTACTTTCTTGCGTATTTTCATGAGTAGTTTAGGTACAGTACACTAATGGGAATTCACTAATTTCCGTTCTGTGCAGTTGCCCCGGGGTTATCTTTGAAGGCCTTGGAAGTGTAGTTTTATGTAAGGTCGCATAGTGGTGCCTTTAGAGTTGAACATCTTGGCCAGTGATGGAAATATTGCACATCTATACGTCTTCATTAATTTTGTGTATTTTTGTGGTGAACGTACTTCATGTACACAGATAAGATTTAGACATGCCAGGGAACGGTAATGATAGTTTATTTGTACAATGAAGCAGCATAACAATTTCCGCTATTGGGCGATGAAACACAATTCCCTCGGCAATATACCACTTAAATTGCATGAGGTTGGTTTGTAACTTGAACGAAACAGTCCAAAATGTAGTTTTAGAGTATGTGAAGCATACGATAATGAAGAATCAATGAAGAAGACCGCTCAGAATATCCCTCCATCTTCCCTTACCTGTAAATAATTGCAGACGTGTGTAGTGGTACGCTCAATAGAACGTGCGAAGCAAACTCATAATTCCCATTTTATTTGCTTGTAACAATAAAAGTAGGATCCATTGCAGCATTTACTTGCGAAAGGTTGGACCAGACTACATCAACATTTTCATGAACAATGAAGCGAAATAAAATTATTTGATTGATTCATCCAATAGAATACTATATACCATCATTCGGTTGTTCACGATATACTATACAGTTTCCGTGAGCCGGGGCAGCTTTTGCATAATACTATAACGTTCTCACAACAATCTTTTAACCATGTCAAACGTACATTTCAAGATATCACTATCGGAATGGTATTCACTTTGTTGACAATATATCTCACGAACAATTTATTGTTTATTTCATCAAGGGTAAAGATACAAATTTTATATTATTATGTTGACGTTTTTAGACTAGGGATGGCACCGTATGGTTTTTTTAGGTTTATTGATAATCAGCATAGGCAATACACGTCACAATCGTAACAGTCTGTGTTAGTTGAAAGACTCTAGTCATACAATGGTCTCCATAGATGAGTCCACGAACGTTGTCAGCGTAGACTTGGACTTGGAGGGGCTGATGCTCTTGACTGACGGAATCTCGTGTATGTCTATTTTCACCCCTCCCTTTTCTCCAAACGTCTTTAACGTGGCACAGTTGCCCTTACAGGGACTGTCTCCTGACGTACCGACACCGTACACATCCACGACAGCCGGCATGTGGTGGTTACTGATAGAGTTACAACTATTGGACTCTGAGCACTGCCCTCGAGCTGCAGCCTTTTTCTTCTTTCTCCTTCTCCTCGCCCTCGTGCATCGAGCACACAGAAAGCACACCGTCCACATGAGGAATCCGAAGGAAATCAAAGAGACAATAGATGATATGATGTATTTCTTGTGATCCACCGGTTCCTTCCCCGGCTCGTAGTCCGCATTATCATCCGTCTCGCCGTTTCCACCGGGAGCCACGTTAACGGGAGGCGAGGCAGTCATGTTGTCATCATAGGACTTATTCTGACCGCCAACATCCATCTCTGTCACCTCCTCGCACGAGTTAGTGCTGATGGTGAAGCTCTCCACCGGCGTTCCTACAACCGGGAAGTCCGTGCTGCCGGCAGACTTTGGTTTCCTCGGGATGACTTTCAAGATCGTTCCCGACCATTTGTTGCTAGACATTTTATCCGACATGCATCTGTACAGTCCCGAATCGCTCATCGTTACGCTTGTGATGTTGAGTGATCCGTCATTAAACACCCTGACCCTGACTTTGTACGAGCCGTGGCTCATCACGGTCCCATTGGGGGTTATCCAGCTTACCTCTCTCGCCTTGCCGTTATTGCAGAAGAGGGACGCGCTATCCCCCTCGGGAACCTCTAGCCGTGGGTTGGTCCCGTTCTCGTCGGGGCATTGTAGCATGTACTGCTGAAGATTCACCAGCGCTGTGCCCTGTAGGCTAACTGGAGTTTCACAGGTTCCTATCCAATCCACAGTTCTGTTCTGTACATGAACGCTTAACCAACCCACCAACCACGAAAGCTCACACGTACAGTTCCAAGGGTTTTCGCTAAGATCAATTCTCCTTAAAGAATATAGAGAGTAGGTCAACTCTGGAGGCAACACAGTCAAGTTATTGTATGATAAATCCAATTCTTGTACTCTTGATAAGTCATTAAAAGCATTTGGCTGTATGGTTTTGACGGATGAAAACACTATAGTGAGTCTACGCAATGTCGTCAAGTTCAAAAAGTCTTTTGTTCTGAGCACTTCAATGTAGTTACCTGACAAGTCCAGCCCCTCAAGACTTGTTAGATACTGAAGATAAGGCACACTTTTAAGGTTCGACATTGCCATGTTCAAGTAGACCAGCCGCCTTAGACCTGAAAACGCATCCTTTGACACCGTCTGAAGACGACTGAGCTCCCCAAGGTCGAGGAATCGCAACCTTTGTAGAGGTGAGAAAGCATTTGCTTGAAGACTGATAATAGGATTCCTTCCAATCCACAGTTCCCGGAGCCCCACTAAGGAAGCGAAAGCCGCCGACGGCACAGACGTCAGTCTGTTGTTGTGTAGTTCAAGAGTTTCCAACTTCGTCAGGTTGTTGAAAGCACCATCGTCTATCTCTGATATGATGTTATCACTTAGCTGCAGGATCTCCAGCTGCTGCAGGCTGACGAACTGGTCTACACCCAGCCTGGTGATATTGTTGTTGGGGAGAGTGAAAGATTGCACCACGTAGGGCACAAATTTTGGCACTTTTGTCAGGCCCCGGGCCCCGCAGTCGACGTAGAAGTGCGAGCCGCTGCAGCGACACACGCGGGGACAGGACCTGGTGGAGGTAACCGTCCTGGACGTCATCAGCATTACCAGAACCGTGAGCAACATTTCCGCGGTGCACAAACTTCCCAGGGCCGCTACCATGGCGCGCTGCCTCTTATCTTCCCTCGCCACTCCGCCTGTATGTACCGTAATCGCGTCCCTACCACTGCCTTAATACCATCGCCGGGTTCCTCTTGACATTATAATTTTCTCTCTGAAAATACCGCGGGCGTGCAAGGCGGGGGTTAATAGCGATGGACCGGCCTCCGACTGAACATACGTCAACATTGTTCCGGCACGGATCTGCCAGCAACTTTTGAGATCCATTTTCTATCCGGTGAACAAATTCCTCCCCTGTAATGACATAGCTCGGGTTACAACTGGCTGTCATTTCCGTGTGTAGTCACATCGAGTCCGCAATCATGGTGCATTAGTGGGCTCATGCGGGGACGCTGCGGCACAATATTTCTTCTAAGCGAAATATTTTCTTTCTTATCTGTAGAGCTCTGGTCCTTTTCTTGATGTATTGTGATAGGATTTCATCCAGTCGTCAATTCACGTCATTATCTCTATTCACACGAGAAGAATGCCGCTCCACTGACGTGCGCTTCCCACCGTCAAATCCCTCAGTGACGCCGTGACTATTCACCGAGAGGAGGCAAGAGTTTCTGGGAGTGACGTCTTGACAATCCATGTAGCTAACACGTCCGCTGACCCGTGAGTGTGAATCTCCATCGCGATGTGGTGAAGCACCCACCCGGCATTAAGTCGCCAACCCTGCAGTAATAAAAGGGGAATAATTTCATTAGTGCAGGTGTGTAACATATTGCAGCAGCGTAGAGCAAGTACACCTACGGGAGCAGGTTTTTGGTCGATGGTATCAAGGGGGTCTTAGAGGGTGTTCACGGGAGCGCAGATAACGCGCCATGGGATTGCGTAACCTCCTCGACACAGTGGGCCTAATATGGAGATATATACCGCGGGAGCATTAGCTTCACTCTTGCACTGCGTTAATTCAGCGACTGGTGGGAATAAAAGCATGCCTTGTACTTGTACGGTGCGAAGCTGCATGTCTCTTGTGTGCTTTCAATGTGAGGAGCCGCGGGCGACTTGACGTGTCAAACTTTCTGCGTAGTCGCCGTGAGCACTACGCCGACGCGCGGGGGTTTCTGCGCAATGTTTAGTAGGCTGAGGGAGAGATTAATGTACTGTAACTTTGACATTTGAACGTTGTGGGAGTGACGTTTTAATTCTAAAGTGTCTCAAGAAGTTCAAACCGAGGATAGGCAGGATTTGTGAATATCCAATTTCACTTCTTCAATCCTAGTATATACTTTAATACTATTATATGACTCAAGACTTGAAGTGAAAAAGTTATTGATTTGCAGTCAATTCACAAATATTGAAACCATCGCAAGGGCACAGAATATTGCACATTATACGATTAGTTACAGAACTTTAAAAGTAACAGAGAAATAAGGCATGTTCTAAATTTAAACTATACTTAAAATACGCTTAGACATTGCCACGGCAAACACTCTAAACTGGTTTCATGTGTAATGTTTTAAATATAGTCATATATCAATGTCAACTAAACGCCGGTGGCAGGAATGCACGACATGATATGCTCTTTCCGTTGGAGAGTATCGACTGAAACTGTCCAGCACGAATTGTTTTAGCAGTTTGTTTGGCAATGCTTTAATGACATGCAGTGCGTATGATGTGTAGTATCCATACAAATACTAACGTGGCGAGAGGATAAATTTTGATGGGGAAATCCTTTACATCCTTTACCAGATCTGCAGAAGCACTCCAAATGTTTAGAATTGTTACATTCCTTGGATAAGGGCCTAGACATTCGATGTTAAAGTTGTTATAACATGATAAAGGTCGATGCGCAAGAGTTATTTCTAATATTCAATCGCTCCGACTGGCCTTTATGTCATTACGTGTTGCCATGGGACTTATGAGTCTACAGTAATGATGGCTAGACGCTGATGCCTTTGAAAACAGTTGATGTATTAGGTGTCAATCTTCTCTCTTATCTCTCCGCGTAGTTCCAACCTTTCGGCGGGATGTCGTGATACCCGCGCGTCTTACCACGGTGGATGGACTTCAATCATCGCCCCAAATTGGGGGGAGGGAACAGCAATTATCGGAGATGGGATCATGACGGATATGTTTCAATCCCCCAGGTTTCTTCCCCCTCCCAAGACTAATAACGCAAAGAAATATGAATCTCTCCTGCCAGTCGCCGGGAAATTACACTTAGTACGGCCGAGTAGGATAAATCCAGCGTATCACCTGACCACACCTCGGGGCTGGCCTCAAAGTGTCCATTTGTAAACGAAACGCTTTCTTTTATCTTTCGAATACCAAGAAAAACACCCTTTAGGCAATTTTGTGTGGACTGCAGGAAAATCATAAGGCAGTCCATTCCACCATTCTGTAGTATCTTGAACTACATTAAACCATAGTCTAACATGTGTTTCTGAAGGGTCATGTTTGCCAGTTCTCAGAATCTTCAGAATCAAAGTTATGTTCCCTTTTTATTCCGATACGATGTTCAAGGTGACCATGGTTGATTCTACATTTAGACACACATCGTCACGTCTGAACGTGAGATGTGAAGAATACATGTGTCTGTGGCCGTAAAAAAAGAAGTTCAACGTTCAGACTCCAAGTCTTGTGAAACAGATCATAAAACATAAACCGTGCAATCACCACAGCTATCAGTTTCCTCTACTCTCCAAGCAGAGGTTTGGGTTTTGGGGGTATTTTTATGGTGTTTTTAGGCTTTTTGGGGGGGGGGTTTCTCTTTTGCACTGAATTTTTTTTCCCACCAAACCCAACCTCTGCAGGCAGTCGAAAGCTTCAATGGGCTATAAACCTAATCACTTCAACACATTTCAGTCGTTCTGCAAGGAGTTGTGAACCAGACGCATGAATAGGCACAGTCAGCAGGAGGCGTGTGGCCCAATGAATGCCTTCCTGACTGGCTAGATGTGTGATAATCCACCACAATAAAATGGATATCCCTAATGACAGTTTGATGGTTCCCGGGGAGGGGCACTATCGCCTGTTTTGAATAGCTTTTAATAGGTTTGCCCCTCCCCGGGGTGAGTGCCGGCAGAGGTTGGGTTTGGTGGGAAAAAAAATTCAGTGCAAAAGAGAAACCCCGAAAAAAAGCCTAAAAACACACTAAAAAAATACCCCCAAAACCCAAACCTCTGCTTGGAGAGTAAGTTTCCTCAGGTTACGTCAAAACAAACTTGTAAAACCCGCTGCGCTGCTTGAAATCGTCAGATTGGTCATAATAACCAGCAGCAGATGGTCCAGTCTGATTGTCCCGTGCTCTGGCGATGGGGTTCCAAATCTCCTCATTTTGAGCTTTAAAATTCTGGCCAATAAAATATAAGTACAACGAGTTGCATTTTGTAG